CCTAATGTATGCATGTGGTTCTTTAATATATCAAAACTTACAAAGAACAAATTTTCTACTGGTGTATATTCATTCAGATTAAAACTGTTTTAGGTTTATACCCAGTATTGCATTTTAATAAAACCTATTTGAAGATAAGTGATGTAAAAGCGTCAACTATATTATTAGATTAGATTTATTAGATTTGTCAAGTAGCTCACAAATCAATCTTAAAGCACTTTATCCTAGTAGACCCGAAACTATAAAATAATAATAGCTGTGACGACATTTTATCTACGTTTAATCACTAGTGATATAAAGGTATAAAGGTATAAAATATTCATTATGTGAAAAATCTGACATGAGACTTTAATTTTTGACTTAATTCATATTTTATATGGTACATTAGATGTGCTGGACTAAATTTGAGAAAAAATTGACGGAAAGTTTATAAACGGAAATTCTACAAATAAATACTATTAATGAAAAGCGTTGGCTACTTTCATTTAGTTGAAAAGAAGTTAAATATCTGAATTAGATTATGATTAAGTTTCTGAAGATGTCTGTCTCGAAGGATTCAATGGTACAAAAACTTTTTTTACAGAATCTAATCCTTTCCACTTACTCTGCCGTAGCAGTATTTCGAAGTATCTTATATACTACATAATATATAATAAATTACAAACACCGATGTTATAAATTAAAAAGATTTAAGTTTAACAGATTTCTGTCTCGAAGGATTTAACGGTATATAAACTGTTTTAGAGAATCGAATCCTTCCCACTTGCCCTGCTTTATAGGTACTTAGAAATATATAGTATAAACTACATACTCCAATGTTAAGGACTCAGTTAAAACAATCCCATCAAATTATTCGGGTCAATAATGAACATACTGAGAAGTTGTTTAGCTAAATAAATAATACTAAACGGAGTATGATTATTGGTTTTTAAAGTCGACATGTTTCTGTAAGTTATTACTTTTGAAATATGGAAATTAAAGATGTTGACACCTATAAACTTTGTTAAATTAAGAGTGAGCAGTGGCTAACGTTATAATAAATTAATCCTTGAACTTTAAAAGTAGGTACTAACTTTATTAGAATGTTTCCAGCCGTATTTGTTCCAAAAGAGTCGTTTTTACTTCAAATGAAATCGTTTGAAAACAGAAAACAGAAATATAGAATTTATTTAAAATTAAATAATTTGAAAGACATGATATATGACATGACTTATATAACGTTTATTTAAAGTCAGAGTTTAATATTTTTGAGAATACTTATATATAAAGAAAATTTATATTTGTACATATTTAATTCATTTGTCTCCATATGAGACTTTAAACATTGTAATGCTATAAAGAAATATTAAGTCCAATGGACAAAGAATATTAGAGTGTTTACTATAATACTACTTTTTTTTATAATAAAATTTTGACTATTTTATTACGAAACTTATTTTCCTGATTTGCTTGATTGCACATGTTGTAAGTGGCCCTTTACAAACTTTCTTTAAAGCTCCTTAGTTATTGCTGCCAGACTTGAATCGGGACCTGCCAGTGGCGTAACTACAGGGAAGCAACTGGAAGCAACGCTTTCGGGCCCCCGAATTTAGGGGGCCCCACTATAAATGTTTGTAAACTTTTTTGTTGGAATAACTTCATATTGCATTTTATAAAAGATACGCAAATTTTAAATTTAAAGTACATAATATATATGTACTTCAAATAAAATATTAAACCTATTTATAAAATAAAAAAGTTTTTCTAAGAAAAATGTCTCGTAATCGAGAGTTTATATGGAAGCTATATCTAGATTTAAACCCATTTGAAAATAATTTTGTACGTTGTCTTTTGCAAATATCAGTACTGTTTACACCAAATTCTATTTAAATACCTTTATTAAAAACGGAGAAACCTCATATCCGATTGTTAAGTTTATATCACAGCTACAAGAAATAGACGTCAAATTTCAATCAAATCATATGGTGAACAGGGTCGGCTAAAAGTATGTGTGTAAAGTTTCATTCGAAGAGTTCAAAAGCTGAGAGAGTAGTTTGAACTGAAAAAGTATATATATACTGTACTGATATATACTTAATGGTATTTCCGACGTTTCCTTTAATGCGTTACGAAAATCTTGACAAACCTTATATACCCTTTTCACATTTTTCGTGTAAAGAGTATAG